ATTTTTCATCTTTATATAACATAGTATTGAAATCTCCTCCCATTACTTGAGGCAAATTGCTTCGTCCCGATAATTTCCTTAACTCCTTCCATAATCTTACCCGAATGTGGCCTCTCGAACTTGCATACATTGCTATGAAAAGAAAAACTATATCCTTCTAATTAATCTTCATATGCATGAGCTGGGTATGATTCAACAAAACCCGGACGGACACATCCTCTTCTTTCCACAAAACCCAAATACCCCCGAAAAACCACTTACTTTAATACGATGGGACTTAAGGAAGCCTAATTTCTTTATGAAAGATTAAGCATTCCCACCACTTATTCTTGGCTTAAAGATAACCACCACACTTGGTCCGTATAATCTAATTAACTCACAACAAGAGGATCTAAACAATCTATGTTTAGCACTATGACAATTTTAAAATAACAAATTCATTGTAAAAATTATATAAAAAAGCTAACATCTAGCTTAAACTCTAGGTGGCAAGCTATTCTTTCCAACCCCTCCCTCCAAATCAATACCCACGGAACTCAAAATCCTAACCTCCTCCTCTAGGGTCACTACCATCACATGATTTAACTTGGAGTTAGCAATAGAAGAAGAGCTAGTAGCTTTTCTATGCATTTACGAAATGAATAGGTAGATTTGAAGTTCTCCTCTCGTATTATGAATTGATTCAACAACTAATAAGTGTCTTTAGGTCACCTATTAAACAATATACGAGTGCATTTATTAAACTCCATTTATTGTTGAATCGTGTTAAGAAGTGAATAAAAATAAAACATTTAAATAAAAATCGATGGTGTTTATTAAAAATATTAAATAATTATTATTTTATATGGTAATTTTTTTAAGTGTTTATTATAAATGATATATATAAATAACAAAAACCCTTAATTAATTAGTACATTTTAATTCCTTAAAAACCAACTAAGTTAACTCCATTTAAAAAAAAAATTAATCTGTTGACATTCTAAATAAAAAAATAGTTTCATTTAATTATATATATATATATGTTCATTTAAAGTTAAATGAAATTATAGTACTAAACAAACATAAAAATCACTACTAGGAAAATGAAGGACAACCCTAGTAAAGAAAACACAAATTTCATCTTGTTTGCGAGAACCATTAGCCTTTTTCCAAATTACAAGCTTTTTTATTTATTTGATGCTTATTTTATAGATTCAAGTTGTTTAAGAGACAAATGCAATTTTTGCCTAAAGTTAATTCATTATTTTAGAGCTTGAATTTATGCTTCTTATTATGATTAATGGAAACACTTGGAAGTTAGTGCTTTGAAGTAGTTGTTAGATTTGAGGGAGTTGTACGGAGTGCTAGGATTGAATATGCAAAGTTTGGGGGAGGGGGTGTTAAAATAGAGTATAGAGCGAGATAAGGAAGTCATTAATAGTTAACTAAAAGGTTGCTCATGCGAAAAAAAATCATGTAAAAAAGAGTATATGGCGGGCATGCGTAACACGTGTGGGAGTTTGTTATGCTTGAGATGGAGAGTTAGTTAGTTGGTTACTTGTAATATAACCAATACGAGTTAAAATCAAGTAGGGATATACATTATAACCATTCTTTGGCAAACTTTCTCTTTGATTTCTCTTTGTTTTCTTTTTGTATTTCTTTTATTTCTTTCTTTAAGTATGTTTTTGTTTGTTCTTGAATTCTCAATACCTACATATATTTTTGTAATTCTTTCGTGTAATTGAATAAAATCAGTCTTTGTTCTTAAAATTGCAATTCATTCTTACATTCTTGATTGATTAGAATATGAAGTTGTATCTATTGGTATCAAAAAGCATGTTTTTGGCACCTATAGAGGGAATAAATTAAACAAGCATGTTGAAAGAATGTGCGAGTCTCAAGATGGCTAAGGAATTAATTATTTCACTTACTCGTGGTATTTTTGTTCTCACTCGAAAATGTGATATTGTTTTTTCATAACACAATTAAGATATTAATGAATTGAAAGAAATGGTGAACGGAACTATGAGTCCATTTGTGGATGAAGTAATTCCTAATAGAATGAATGTTAATAGTAGTAGTGGATTAGGAAATGTGAGTGAAGGTAGTAATCAAGATCCTAGATATGGGTATCCTACTAGAGCGTTGCATGTAGGTTTATGAAAAATAAATATGCTAAGGATAATTTGGGATATCATTCTATTACTAGGATGACAAAGGTAGAGTTTTTTTAGGTTTTCTAGGAATGATTTTTTGAGAATGGACTTTTAGGAATGAAATTTTTTCCATGCTTGATAGGACTTTCAAGGATGCTAAAATGAATTTGGTTGTAACTCCTTTAAAGGAAGAGGCTTTAGAATGACATCAAGTATATGTGAGGATGCATAGAGCTACTAATGCTTTGATTAAATGGGAAGATTATATTGATGCTATAAGAATATGTGCTAGGAAATGGTGTTCAATGATCGTATGACCGAGTTGATAGGGTTGAAACAAACAAATGATGCCTCGCTTTTTTCAAAAGATTCATTTTTGTTGTAAACAAACATGATTTGTTAGAAAATTATATTATTAGTTGTTTCATTGGTAGCTTTAAATTATAATTACAAATTCCAATCAGGATTATGAGACAAGAAACAACAAATGAGTAGTAGCTCTAGCCAAGCTTCGTGAAACAAATTCTAACATTTAGCACAACTCTAATAGATTCAACAATAAATTTCCTTCTACGTTAAAAAAAAAAATCTAATTCCTTTATGTTTAACAAGAACTTGAATCCTACAAACTTCCATAAATTTTCAAATCTTGTTAACCAACACTCTCGAATGAATTATAGCAATAATTCCAATAACAATAAAAAGTCTTATTATCCTTGCCAACTTAGTTTTAAAATGGTACTTATGTGCTTAAAACTAGAAAGTTACCTAGCAATAAGGAACTAGATGAAAGAAGGTTGAGATGTTAGTGTTACTTTTGTGACCGAAGTATACTTTTGGTCATAAGTGTAAGGGAAGACAAGTTTTTATGTTGGAAGTAGACGAACGTGGAGTAAGTGAGAATGGAAAGAATTGATTATGGAAGAGGATCATAATGTAGAATTCATTGATATAGGAATTTTTTCTAAAGAATTGTATTGGATTTTAATGTATACAATATTTAAAGGGGAACATTATCGGACCATGAGAATTGTAAAATATTTACATCGTAAGAGGATGAATATATTGGTAGAAATTGGTAGCAATTATAATTTTGTTGATTAGGGATGTGTAAAAAAGATTCAATGTGAATTGGTTAATATTAGGCCTATATTTGTGAAAGTTGTAGATGAAGGAGAAATTTATTGTGAATATATGTGCAACAATTTTAAATAAAAAATGTAGGGTGATGTATTTGAAACTATAGTTTTTGTAATGTATCTAGGTATGTATGAGATGATACTAAAAGTGCATGACTATATGCATTAGAAGACTTAACTTGGAATTTTTAAGTATAAATGGATCAAATTATAAATGAGAGATAGTTATTCATGTTATAAGGGAAGTGTGTGAATTTTATTAAGAATGATGAGGAGAAAGAAATTGATAGGGTTATTTGTAAACGACAACAACTAAATTGGTTGCAATTGGATCAACTAATTGATTTTGAAGAAATAGAAATAGAAATTTATACGGCAGAGAGTGGACAATAAATTCTAATAGAACTAACGATAGCTCTAAAGATGTTTAAGGATGTTTTTGAGGAACCTAAAGCATCGCCTCCTCAAAGAATGCAAGATCACAAAATAACTTTAAAAGAAGGGTATGGACCTATGAGCATGAAACTCTACGGACATTCTCTTATCCGAAAGGATGAGATTGAGAGATAGGTTCAAGAAAAGCTTAGAAATGCAATTATACAATCGAGCATCAATCTTATATATATGTATGTATAATTTAAAATTCATATTTAGAATTTTTATTATGCATAAATTAATTTTTTTAGTGTTACACACAATGTGTAGGGGTGATTTCCTAGTGTTTACTCGAATTCAAAAGTAATATTTACTAATAAAAAATCAGATTTACCTCTCTTTAAATTTGGAGCAAAATGATCCATTCGTTAGGTAAATAGAGATCATTAATTTTAAAATCAATAATTTGGATTTCTTTTGATATATATATATATATATATATATATATATATATATATATATATATATATATATATATATATATATATATATATCAATTTTAAAAAGAGTTATAACTAGGAGGATTCACTATTTGGTTTAAATTGAAAACAAAATTGAAATATCAATTTTAGTTCGGTTTTTAAATTCAAAAAAACAAAAAAACAAAATTTTTCTGGTTTTTCGGTTTGGTTTGGTTTTTAAAGTTTTGGGTTTGGTTTAAAATAAACCAAAAACTCAATACATTAACATTATTATAAATATACGATGGATTGAATATGTTTTTGATCTATTTAAATTATTTTAAAAAATAAAAAATCAGAAAACCTTTTAAAAAATAAAAAGATCAGTTTAAATCAAAACCAAAAGATTTCAGTTTTTTAACCAAAAAACGAATTGCTATTGGTTCGTTTTTTGATTTTGTAAGTTCAGTTAATAAAGAACAAAATCGAAATATTACAAAAACAAACTGAAAAATCAAATAAAAAAATCCTAATTATAACCGCTCACTAATTTGATAAATGAAATCCTAACCATTAAAATTCAAACCAATATTTTAAATTTTACTAACGTCATGCATGATGTTATTGCTAGTTTAAAAGGAGGGAAGTAGAGTATTTTATTCTATAACATTTCACATCCATCTTGACAACTAATACGAGTGATCTGTATATGATTCGGCGTTGTTTATGCATTGGGTTTTTCTACATCAATTTCTATTGAAGTTATCTATTTAATGGTGGTACTGGTAGCGTGAAGGCAATTAGAATAACTACCCCCCAAAATACAATATCATAAAAGATCTCTACAATCCAAAACCATCATAACCATCGCCCAATACCTCCAGCAAATGAAGAAATCACAGCTTGTTTTTGTCCCTGTCCCTGGGATCGGCCACCTTGTATCCGTTGTAGGGTTTGCAAAGCTCATTCTTGAGAGAGATGACAGTTTCTTGATATCCATGCTTGTCATCAACAACCCATATGCTCCTAGCATAAGCAACTACGTTGAGTCCCTTGCTGCCATCCACACTCAAATTAACTTCATCACTATTCCTGAGAAAGTAGTTGAGGCACCGCCTCTTGAAGTTTTTGTGGGGAGACCTGAAAGCACTTTTACCCAATTCCTCAGGGAACACAACCCTTTTATAAAAGATGCTATTGTTAACCAAGTGATGGCAAACAGCCCAGTTCCAATTGCTAGTGTTATTGTTGATTTGTTTTGCGTTTCCTTTATTGATGTTGCAAAAGAACTTGGTGTCCCTTCTCATGTTTTCTTTTGCTCTGATGCTGCCTTTTATGGATTGATGCTGTACCTTTCAGAGAGCGAGGACAAGGGTGAGCCTAAGTTTAGAGAAACTGACCCTCATTATATCATTCCTTATTATGCCAATCCAGTGCCTTATCGTGTTTTGCCATTACTCCATCGCGATACAGCATATGAGACGTTTGCATGGCTTGGAAGAAAATACAAAGAGAGCAATGGTATCATCATTAATACGTTTTCAGAGCTAGAGTCTCATGCAGTTCGGGCTCTAGTGACGAGAGATGATTTGCCACCAACTTTCACAGTGGGGCCAATAATTGATCACAAGGGAAAGAGCCTAACAGGATCTGAGGCCGCCAAATGCGAAGAGATCACGAAATGGCTTGATGATCAACCTGAAAAATCAGTGGTATTCTTGTGCTTTGGAAGTCAAGGAGCTATGAGAGAAGCTCAGTTGAAAGAGATAGCAATTGGGCTCGAGCGGAGTGGACACCGGTTCTTGTGGGCGGTTCGCAAGCCACCCGGTCCAGGTGAGGGTTTGCCCGGGTTTTACACCAGTTATGACGAGATCTTACCGGAGGAGTTCTTGGAAAAGACAAAAAATATTGGAATGCTCTGCGGGTGGGCACCGCAGGTACAAGTCCTCGCTCATAAGGCAGTCGGGGCATTTGTATCACATTGCGGATGGAACTCAACCTTGGAGGCCTTGTGGTCTGGTGTGCCTATAATAACCTGGCCATGTTATGGTGAGCAGCATATCAATGCATTTCAGTTGGTGAAGGACCTGGGATTAGCAGTGGAGTTGACTCTAGATTTCAGGAAAGATTCTCCTACTGATTTCGTGAAGGCAGAGGATATAACAAAGGCAGTGAAATACGTGATGGAAGAAGGTAGTGAATACAGAAACAGGGCCGAAGCAGCAAGTGAAATGGGAAGACGAGCTCTGTTAGAGGGTGGATCTTCAGATGTTGCTTTTGGACGTTTGATTGAACAATGGCTACGAAACAAGCCTTGAACAATTTTTCTGCAACGCTAATTTTTATTGGCTATCCCTACTTAATTATTCGGTTGCTGTCATTGTTATTTGTGTTTCCCTTTCAATCCTATTAGATTTGGCCACTTTCAATTCCTGTTTGATGTCTTAGAGATCGATAACATTGTTTAGTCGAGTGGTAGGCCTTAATGAGTGTTTATTTGGAACTTGAAGGTTAGCTTAATTAGAAGTTAACGTTGGTGCAGTAATGATTGAAGAAATTGGAATAAAGAAGCAGTAATCCTTTTTGTGCTCTAATAATTAAATATATTTATGAGTTGTTATTTTTCGGACCAAAGAGATGCAAAGAAATTTAAGTTAATTATCTCTATAGTTTTAACAAAAATAATTAATTAACCTTCACGGCTTTAGAAATTTTATGTTGCATCTCTGTATTTTTAAATGTGTTCCATAATGTAATTCTTTTTCTCTCCATTTATATTGTCTCTCTTTCTTTCCTTGAAAAAAAAAAAAAAAAGAAGAAGAAGACAGGACATAAAAAAAAATTGATTAGGAAAAAAAAACCATTTCAGGAACACTATTAAAATCAGGATGATCAACACCAATCATAAAATTATTTTTTATACTGCAAAAACCAATCAGTTAGATTTAATTACAACCATAGAGACAAAGTTGTAATTATGCGCATTTGAATACAAAAGCATAAACATCAGAAATTGTAACAAAACACCCTAATTACGTCAAGAAGTTGATTGATAAAGACTGGGAAGTTAGAATTTCCTATTTACATAGAGAAGTTTGCTCGTGTGCAATTTTCTTTCGGGCTAATTTTAGTATAAAGTTGGCTGGTATTGTATGAGCCACCAACTTTTATAAAGCATGCATATAGGCTCTGGAGAGATTTTTGTAGGATATGGAGTTCAAAAGTTATACTTTGCTTTTATTGTTAAGAGTTAATATAAAACGATTCTTGAATTATATTTTTATAGAAAATTCTCAACCTTAAAAAATAATTTTATGTTAATTATATCACTTTCAAAATAACGTAATAATAATGAAAATCTTTCATAGATCAAATTTGCTAGTTGGACTGCTAAATATACAACAATCTTTTGTGCTATACTTTAATGGATGAGTGATTATTATTGTGATTATTATTATTATCACTTTCCGAGAGAGTGTCTTTGGTTTATGATAGGGTTGGTATAAAGGATAGTACGTGCATGCGAAGAAAAGCAAGTTTAAGTCCTTTGGTTCGTGACTCCATCTGATATATCCTTAAAATAATAATAATAATAATAATAATCTAAAATCAGATACGAATATCGTGGCAGTATTCAATCCGTGTTGACTTCCACATGCAATGCTCGGATCTCAGTATTCAGGGATCCACCGCCGACCCACATTCCAATGTTTACTTATTGTCAGCAAGGCTTATACTTGCGAATCTCACTCCAATGCGCAATGCGTGTTGACTGCTGCATACAGTAACAATTGTAGTGAAAATTATTGGAGTAATTGTGACCCCGATAATAATTGTAAAATAAAAAAATGATGAAAAAGATAGGATAATAATAACAATATTATGATATCAATAATATATATTTTTTAAAAAATAATATCATCATCATAGAAAGTAACAATGAAAGAAGAGTGATGATGACGATAGTAGCAAGTATAATAAAAGTAATGACGATGGTTGTGATATAATAAAATTGATAGTAATAATAGAGTATGAGTAGTGACAGAATAATAATAATTTTATTTATAATCGTTAATGATGGTGGTTGAAAAAGAGTGATGACAGAATAATATTAACGATAATTTTATTTATCATCATCGTCAATGGTGGTGATAGTAGTATAATAAAATTGATGATGGTGGTTGAAAAGTAGTGGCGATGAAATAATAATAATGATAATAGCTTTTCTTTCAAAAAAAATAATAGAGTACGAGTAGTGATAAAATAATAATAATAATTTTATTTATCACCATGTTCAATGGTGGTGGTTGAAAAAGAGTGATGACGAATAATATTACCGATAATTTTATTCATCATCATCATCGTCAATGGTAGTGATAGTAGTTTAATAAAAATGATGATGGTGATTGAAAAGGAGTTACTAAAAAAAAACGAAGTTTAGCGACGAAATTTCGTTGTTAATTTTTTGCAATGGAATACTCAGCCGTCGCTAAACCAAAAAATCCATCGCTAATCTTGTCATCGGATCGATCATTTTGTTCGTAGCTAATCCGTAGCTAATTTTGAAAATAAATCCATCGTTAATTTTGAAAATCAATCCATCGCTATTTTGAAAAACAAAATTGTCACTAATCCGTCGCTATTCCATCGCTATATTTTCAAAACAAATAAATATTTTTTTCATTTTATTTTGGTTTTTTTAAAATTATTAATATTACATTTAATATTTAATAATTAATAATTAATATTGGATGTAATAGTTAATAATTAAAAGTAATAACGTATAGATTGAAAATGAATTAATTTTAACAATAACATTCGAGTAATACATTCGGTAAAATAAAACAAAGTCACTAAATATTTGTTCTATCACTCATCCTCACTCATCATACTCGTCTAATCTCATATCCTCCTTCTAATAATATGTGGAGGGCTTAAAGGAGGATCGAGTGGAGGCTGAACGGAAGGCTATGTGGAAGGAACGATAGATTATTGACTAGTCGACGAATTTATAAGCAACCAATAAATTAAAAATTTCTTAAGAAATAATCAAAAAAAATTAATTAAAGTATGTACAAATTATATAATTTAAAAATTAACTTAAAACAAACAACTAACAAAATTCACCTAATAATTAACACAATTAATTAATTAATTAATTTAAAATAACAATTAAAGATTAAATAATTAAATTTTAATCTAAAAATTAAAAATAAATAAATTAACAATAAATCAACCTTAACTAAATTACTTAAAAAATTAAATTAATAAAATTAAACCTAAAAAATTAACATAATTAAAAAATTTTATGTTAAAATTAACCTAAAAATTAACACATTAAAAAAATAACAATTAAAAAAATCAATCTAACAATTAAGAAAATTAAATAAACAATTAACAAATTTGCACTAATAATTAACAAATAAATTAACACAATTAAAAATTAAGATAATAATAAAATTAACAATATTCAAACAATTAATCAACTAACATATAACAAAATTAACCTAAAAGTTTATAACATTCATTTAATTTTTTTTTAAAAAAAAAGAGTTAGAGAAAGAAAGTTTTACCAAAGAGATCGAAGAGAGAGAGCGAGAGATTTCGTTGGATTTTGAGAGAGAAAGATGCACCTCACTAAGTTGAATGGTTTGGGAAGTCACTTCGTGGCGAGGAGCGGCGTGGGTGGTGGTTTTCTAGCCGATGGTGGATTTTTGGGTGGAGGAGAGAGGGACTCGAATGGGGAAGAAGAAGAGAAACTGTGTGTTTATAGGCTCGGAGATTAGCGATGGACACGATTCCGTCACTAATTCGTCGCTAATTAGTGACGGAATTGCCAATCCATCGCTAATTAGCGATAGCATCGCCAATCCGTCATTAATTTGAACCGTTTGGATGAGAAAATTTTCACCCAAAATTTCAAAATAGCAACGAATTTCATAATCTGTTGCTAATTGGTGATTTTGGTGAGAAAATCTCCCCCAAAATCCCAAAGTTAACAACGGATGCCCGAGTTCATCGCTAATTTGGGAGAAAATTTCTCCCAAAAATCTAAAATATTAGCGACAAATGCCAAGTACGTCATCAAGTCCGTTGCTAACTTTGGGAGGAAATTTCCCCTTAAAATCCCAAAGTTAACGACAAATTTTGGAATCCGTCGTTAATTTTTTCATTTATCGACCACATGGCCATCGCCGATTTTAGAGCTTTTTTCCTCGCCTTATTTAGCGACGAATTTTTGACCGGTACTAAGTATCTCTCGTTAGTCCGTCGCTAATCCATCGCAAAATACAACCTTTTAGAATCTGTCGCTAAATAGCGACGGATTTTAATCTATCGCTAAATGTCGTCACTAATTGGCATTTTTACGGTAGTGAGTGGCAATGAAATAATAATAATGATAATAGCTTTTTTTGGAAAAACAAAATTATCACCAAACTCCAATAGAGGTGGTGGTGATGATGGTTATCATAACTCATTTTTTACTCTCTGTTTAATTTCATACAAAATTCAAAAAAAAAAAAACAAGAAGAAGAAAATTAAAAAAGTGGCATGTTGCATGGTTTATTTTTCCATGATTTATAGGTATTTTTTATAAATTTTTAGGATTTTAATTTCTTAATTATTTCATATTTTTTATAAAAAAAAAAAGAAGAAAAAGAAAATAAAATAATATGAGAAGATGATTTGAAATCAAATTGAAAAGAATATGAAAAGTGAGAATCAAATAACATTCGATTAGAAATGTAATTGAAAATGGATTAAAATCTAAGGCTTTGATCAAGAATTAATCATTGTGGAATTGAAAGAAGTAAAAAAAAAATAGGGATTAAACAATTTCAATTAATGATCTAATTGGAGAAAAATAATAAAAGGCATATTGAAGTAAAAAGAAATGGATAAAAGAAGAAGCAAGTTTGATTTCATTCCAACCGTAAAACACCACTATATAAATACACTTTCTCCTCATTTTTTAGGGAGCCTTCATTATTCATCTCCTACCCAAAAATCCTAACAACCACTCATCTTTCTTTTTAAAAAAATTCTAGCCTTCATCAATCATCTTCCTACCCAAAAACCCTAGCCTTCATCACCCATTTTCCTACCAAAAAAGCCTAACCTCCATTATTCACCTATTACAAAACAACCTAACCACATCTACCTATGATCCTACTAAAAAAAAAAAACACCCAAAATATAAAAGGATTACTATTCATTATCTCTTTAAACAAAAATTGGTATTCTCAATCTAACCCTAAGTTATAAAAGAAGAAGAAAAAGTTGTCTACCTAAAAATAGAAAAAAACAAATAGCCCTT